ATTAGGTTTTCTAAGTCTTGCATTCTTTGATTAAGAGAATTTTGTTCGTTGAGTAGGATTTGGTTTTGTTCTTTTAGTTCTTGGTTGTTTTGTTGGAGATATGAGATTTGAAGATCTTTGTTATTAGGTGATATTGATGAGGAGATTTGAATGGATTTTTGAGCATGTGAATTATGTGTTGGAGTGTCCATTGGACTGGTGTATAGATCTTTTAATTGGGCAATTTGGTCAAGAATGGAATCTAATTTAATTCGATTTTTTTGATATATAAGTTGAATTGATTGAGATCATTTCTGAGCTGTGTGATGAGATTTTTATGTTCCTCATTGATGTATTTTTGGTTGTTGCTTGTATCATTGAAAGGTGTTGTTGATTGTTGAGAGTTGTTGATAGTTTGAATTTGTTGTTCCAAGTTAGATTGTTTGGTTTTTGTGGATTTTTGGTTTTGTGAAGTTTCGATATTATGACTGTTGTTGGTTGGTAAGTTGGTCTTGGTGTGTGATTGTGATTGTTTTTGGTTGTTGTTGGTTAATAAAGCTTGTTTGTATGTTCGGAGTGGTGTTTTGATAGTGGGTTTGCAAATATCTATTCCTCTATTTTCATAGAGTTTATTGAGTTGTTTAAATTGGATGGCTTTGTTTGTTTTGCTTCTGCAATTGCTTGCATTGTGATTGTGTTTAAAGCAAAGGTTGCATATTTGGGCTGATTGTTGTTCTCACCAGATTTTAGTATCTCTTAAAAGAAATTTTTTGATCATGGTGTTTGCTAGATCAGTTTCACTTTCAAAATTGATCCATGTGTATCTTTGTCTTTGGTATTTAACAGGGGAACGTGGGATGAAGCATGATTTGGCTTTAATATCTTTTAGAATATCTTCTAGTTTATATGCTACAGTTCCATAAGGGAGATTAACGAGCTTTGCTTTGTATCTGTCACGTTGTTGGATAGTATCTGGTTGTTTAACTAGAGGAAGGATTCTAACGGAGTCCGTTCCGATAAGTATAGACCATTTGTTGAATGCTGTTTCAGCTTCTTCAGGTGAGCTATATCTGATTGTGACGTAATCCCATTTTCCTTTGGTTTGTTGACGAGTTTCTTCGATAGTTCCAAATTGTGCCATTATTGTTTCGATTAGAGTCTTAGAGGTGCCAATAGGAACGTCTCTTAGTGCGATAATACAGTCAGTATTTATGTTATTATTCGATTCTTGGTTAGGTTTGAGTGTAGTGATATGGGTATTTTGATCGAATGTGATTTGTGTTGCTTGCAAGAGTGCAGTTTCGGAATTGAATTCGGTATGAAGATATTGAGTATTATTGATGATAACTGATTGGGTGTTTAGAAATCCTTGAATAGGATATAATTCATTATTCAGTTTCTTGATTTTTTCTAGGGTGGTGTCTTGGGATAATGCTTGAGCAGATATCCATCCCTTGTATTTTTTTTTGCTGGTAATGGTGATCCATTCATTGGTTGAATTATTATTATTATTTGTTTGTTGATCGGTGTTTGTAGATTGAGAATTAAGATCATTAGGAGCATGGATGGATGAGGAGAGTTTGTGCAATTTTGAGTAGTTATCATGTAACATCGATTTTTGAGTGATGTCATCGTGTTCAGATGTTTGAGCGTCTGAATTATCAACTATGTCATGTATTTCGTCAACTATGTCATGCATTTCATCATCGATAGATCTGGATGTTGTTTGTTTGTTGTTTATATTGATGGTGAATTGTGATTTGTCACTGATAATAAATAGAGAATCATTTTTGGATGTGTTGATGTGATATGTTTCATCTTCAGATGGATTACTGATGAGATCATCCATTAGTGTATCATCTAAGACATTTTGGTCTTTATTAGGTTTAGTCATGCTGCGTGTTATGCGTTTGTCTTGTTTGGATGTTGTTGCTATATTTGGGAGTTCATAAGGATCATGTCTTTTTTTGAGTTTTTTATTGGTTGTGTCTGTTTTTGGATTGTTGGTGTTGATCGTGGATTCGTTGGAAGGGGTTTGGTGGATGGTATTTTTTGATTTTTTTGATTTTGGATTAGGTGAAAGACCTAGTGTTTGGGTAAGGGTTTCGAATAAAGAAGTGGAAGCCGGAGCTCCAGAAGATGAGGAAGCCATTATTAGTATACGAAATTGAAAAAGAAATATTTATTATTTTTGGTTTTTATATTATTTTTGTAGTTTTTTGTATAATTGTGTATGGGGAAAGAATAAATTGATCGAAGATTTTTAAAGAAAAGAAATATTTATTTATTTAAAGAGGAATGATAAAATGTTGTATATGAATTTGAAGCTTGTAGCGAGGGGAAGAAATTGATTATAGGGGATGATGTTAGGTGTCTTAGTATTGTCTAAAGATATTTGGATTTTGTTAAATTTTTTTTTTTCTCTTGCTGTGTGTATGGGCTGAGGATCTACGAGAAAGAGTTTGCGTTTTTTTATTATGATTATTATTATTGTTATTATAGTTATTATTATTATTATTATTATTATTATTATTATTATTATTATTATTATTATTATTATTATTATGTTGATTATTATTTCTACTAAAATATTTGTTTGCAGTATGTCCCATTTTTTCACATTTATAACAAGTAAATAGTTTATTATTATTATTATAATTATTATTATTATTATTATTATTGTAGTTGTAATTTCTTTTATTTCTGATATAACAATCAACTAATAAATGATTATTTCTTTTACAATAGATACATGAAATTCTGGTTGATTAGTTATTAGATAAGTTTTAATTATTATTTTGTTGATTATTTTGATTATTATTATTCTTTGTTATTAACTGATTAAATTTTGTTGTTAATTCTTTTATTTGTTTTACCAATGGATTTTGTATATTTGATTTAGTATAACTGGTATGTTGAATAAATTTGGTGTGATTACTATTTGACTATTGAACTGATTGACTTGTCTATAACTAGAGTCATAGAGTTGTGTAGTTTGAATAGCATCATTTAAAGTTACTGATCTGGATGGACCGATGAAGAATTTGATTTTTGATTTTAGATCTTCCAAAAATAATATTACTTGTAAGTGAGCTGGATAAGCATTTATTAGATCAATTCAATATAATAATTCTCTTATAGCTGATGAATATTGTTTTACACTTTCAGTTGGTAATTTTTTTTTTGATTGAGTTGTTGTTGTTACTCATATATTTTTTCAACTATTTTAAATTGTAATTTGAATTGATGGATAAATGATGCTTGTTCATTAATTGCATTATCAGAGGTGTTTGAATTCCATTGTCCAGATTAATTTGCTATTGTCATGCACTTATTTGCTAATCAAATACTAGCAGATCCTTTTAAATAAGCTCCAACAATTGTTATTTTTCTTGCATCATTTATGTTATTTGCTTGACATGCACTTTCAAATTTTATAGTCATCCAATTGGATCTTGACTATCACTATAAAAGTCAACTATTTTTGCAAATGATAGTTCTCTTGAAGATGCTAATACAACTGTTTTAATATTGATTGCATTAGCTAAATTACCTAAATTGATTATTAAAGCATTGAATTGATAGTTATTCATTGTTGGTAATAAATTATTTTCTGAATTGAAATGATTTGGAGTTTGAATTGGAATTTGTTGTTGAAGTTCTTCTTTTTTAATTTGATCTTCTTCAATATTTTGTACTGGCAGCTCACTTTGAATTACAATTTGATTTTCCAGATTCCGGAGTTTAGCTAGTTATTCTTGGAGTTTTTGTTGTTTTCAGTAAGCTCTTCTTTTTATTAAAAAGTTTGTGATATCTTATTGTAAATAATACACATATATTTGTATTTCTTATTTGTTTTGATAAGAATATTGTTTTAGTAATTTGCTAAGTTGATTAACTGGTTTATTAATTGTATTTTTTTGGTAACTTTCACTAGCTGTTTCAGTTATTTGTTGTTTTATCTTTTTGAGTTGTTCTCTGGTTAAAGTTTCTTTTAATTCAACTTCATCTCTTAGTTCTTCAAATAATCAATTTATTTCAACACTGGTGAATTTTGTTGGATCCAGTTTGATTTATTGATTTGGATGGTTCATCCATAAAGGATTTGTTTACTAATTGGTTTGTTATATTTTAATGTCTTTGAAAATTTCTTTTCTGCAGTTTGATACTATTGAAGATTTCTTTTTCACAGAGAGAGCACCAAAAATTTGTTACCTTTTCTGTTGGTTTATTAATTTTTAAATATAGATCATGTATTTTTTATGTGTTTCAATTTAGGAGAGTTATTAAAGATTTTTGTATATTTAAAGTAATTAAAGTTGGGAGAGGCTAATTTAATAAAAGTAGATAACAATGTGTTCATTTTGTTGAACTGCTAGAATGAGTTTAGAAATCTTCTTTTAATTCAAATAGTTTAATTGTTAAGTAATCTTCTTTTATTGATTAACTTTTATTAAAATTATCT